AACAAGGAGGCTGCGACCACAAAGTTTACAGAAAATGACTTATTTACTCAATGGGATTTACAAGGATGACAAAGTCAGATTTAGTAGTTGCAGTGTGGTCCTAGGAAGGGCAGGAGGAGGAGTACTTGAAAAACTGTACTGTATAAATAATCAAACAGAAAATAGTTTGCTTATTCTTCCATGTAAAGCAATCATATTTCAATTCCTAGGCCAACTCTATCCCAGGACCCGCAGAAGTTTTCAGCATGTGCAGGAATTACACTATTCCCAACAAATATTGGTGCTGGGAGCTCACATACCTTAAATAAGTGTTTTTATTTTTCTATTTCCAGAAGATTGACATTGAAATTGACATTGTGCTGAAATCACACCGCAGGAGGGAGATGTTATTTTCACCATGGATTAATCTTAGAATTAGCAATGACCTGTCTTAGAACAGGAACACTGCTTTCCTAGAGAATCTCTCATTTCCTTTCCTATAAAGATGAGGGAGATAATCAGAGAAGCAGGCATTTTTTTAAGCTATCTAAAATTAGGAACTTCAAAATGCATTCCCTCTTTCTCTTTGTGTTTCTCTTCATTCATTTCACCAGCTGCAAGTGAATAGACTGAAGGGTCAAAAGGTTTATTGACTTTCATTGGAAACTAACTGAAGCAAATTTCCAGTGTTACTAAATGAACTAGCTGAATTTTTTTTTCATGTACAGTCATGGGCTGAAGAAGTCCCATGTTCTTCATTTGTTGCCAGGGTAACAGTAGGAACCAGTAACAAAACCTCCTTACTGTTGCACACGGGAGGACACAATGGAGTGCAGAGAGATATAATGATTTTGGTGACTGTTAGTGCCATAAGAAATGAAAGTACCTATTTTGTTCCATTAATTGAAGCTGAAAACAGAAGCTGCTATTAAAATACTATGCATTTTAGTGTGATAACATTAAAGCATTATGTAGCAGCTTTCTTACTGTTGAGTATTCTGCTGGAAGAAAGCAAACACGTGATGGGCATTGAGCCTCTCAAGTGGAAGCTATACTTGGCTGGTAATGATGTCCACTATCTGTGGAAAGGAACCGCAACAGAGGCAACTCCTTCTTACCTACTTAGACAATGGATTTGGCAAGTCTCCTGTCCTAAACTGGGTATATCTGATCTGTACTTCAATGGCAGATCTCCAAGGAGAAGTTGAGGAAGTGCTACTGTTCATTCAGTGCAAGGCATTCTTTCTAGTAAATCTGCTTGGACTTGTGACCCCAGACTGTTTCCAGGCACTGTTTTGAATGGAGAGATAGTTTCTTTCAAATGTGGCCTCTAGCAGACCGAAGAAAAATATTCCAATCTTCATTCATCTAACACGAGTTATTTGTAAAATATGGAGACATTATGATCAGAACTGAGTACTCAGTTTTCTTCTTTGAAATATAAGTAATCGTGGAATGGCTTGGGTTGGGAGAGACCTTAAAGAGCTTCCAGTTACAACCCTGTGCTGTGGACAGGGCTGCCTTTCATCAGCTGAGGCTGCACGGAGCCCCATTGAACCTGGCCTTGAGTGCTTCAAGGGATGGTATGTTCACATCTTCTCTGGGCAGCTGTGACAGTGCTTCACCTGCCCAATGAGCAAATAATTTCGTCCTTATGTTTAATATAAATCAGTCTTCCTTTAATTTAAAACTATACCCACAAAGAAGTCACACAGCTTTTGCACTCCATATCTCTTTTGCCTACTTGTATATTTCCTCCCCATCACACCCAGTCTTTTTTTAAATTCTCTGAATAGATTTCATTCCATCTCAAATGACATTCATATAAGCATTTTAAAATAATGGAATTAAAGTACATCTTTTAGATTAATGAAAGAGAGTTTGGGGGAAAGTTAACATATTCTTTAGATGCGATGTACTAGAGTCCTGTAGTATGAGCACTCAGGACTTTAAACAATGTCTGTAGGATTGGAGAGTGCTGAAAACATACAGCTTTGCATGCTAAAGCATCATTGATGAAATTTTTAATCTATGAAAAATTAAATAAACCTTTGCAATTTCCAGTAATGTTTCTGTCATTGGAGATATGAGCCTTTATTAGAAGATGTATGTATCAAGGGGAGTTCTCTAAATTAGAGCGTCCTACCTTTTTTTTAATTTAGAGATGGAGATGAATAGGGGTCTGCTTTCCTCCTGTTAGCTTGTAGTTTGTGCTTTGTCAGTGAGAGCTTGGAGCACTGTGCATACCTGCAGAGTGAGATTCAAACTGCGTTATATTGTATGCACAGAAATAAATGTTGGTTGATGATACAGGAATGCACAGCTGCACCTGATGGAAGAATTTTGCAGTAAATGAGGCTGCGGAAGTGTGACAAAATTTAATGCCACGTTAAGTGCTTAGCTAACAGCCCCTTGATTTGTACTTACAGGAAAGCTGAATGGCTCTGCTGGCTCTGCCAACTTGCAGAAATAAATAATAATTTTTAGTTAATTCCAAAATAAGCATTCTAAACATGCATATGGCTTCATCTCCGAGGGTGTTCATTTTCAAGATAATATTTAAACATAAGTTTAAGTAGTGTTTAGCTATCAATGAAGTCATGGAACTAATATTACTCTTAATTCCCATCCTCAAAACAAGCGAGAGAGGAGCATTTACTTGGCTGGGACTGCACCTTTTTAAAGTCACTTTTTAAACAGGTGTCTAGAATATTGTTAGTGTTGAATGCTTATTGAAGGACACATCAGAAGTTGAAAAGTAAATTCAGAAGTGTAACCAGAGTTAAACATAAAGGGTGAAAAAATGTACAGTCCTACAGCTAACAGAGCTGTGGAGATCCCAGCTGAAGGGGAAACCAAAACTTCTGAAAGATTAAAAAAAAAAAAAAAAAAGCAGCTGAATTTGTCTCATTCATTTTTTATTTTGATTTAAGTGTCTAGAATTAGTTTTCTTTGAAGAAGAGCAACAAAAAGTCCGTTTAAGTTGTTCCAGTCTTTTTGTGTCTTGTTTTAAGAATGAGCTTTAAATATGGTAGCTTTTCTTTAGTATGTGATTCATAAATAAAATACATGATGGTACAGTGTAAGATTATCTTGGCACAGGTTTGGGATGACTACATCGCTTACAGAGCTTTTGACACTTGTGAATAATGCAAAAGTGTGCCAGTAAAAGGTCTTTATCCTACCAATATATATGTGCATGGAGGTTTTTGTTAGTGTGCTCTGTTTCAGCACATTTTTTAGTATTTACTGTGAAAAGCTTTCACTTCTATGTGATATTGCACCGTATGCCTGGCTGCCACAATAGCCCCTATGGCTTCAGATTTTGTGACACGGTGAAAACGAGCAGCTGTAATCTATTCAAAAGGACGAGGCTTGCATCCCATTCTTTATCTTTCCCTGCTCTTAGCTGCCCACTTATTTCATTTGCCTTGAACCAGTTTCTTGTGTGTTTGGCAGTATTGCAAGATATACCTTAAGAATCTTAGCTTAGGTGCCAGACCAAATAAGCCTGTTACCCACCATATGTGCATTCACTGCAGTGCTCATAAATGCCCTGTCCCAATCATGCAACCTATGGTTAGCCTGGGAAGGGTGGTGGTAACCAGCTGAAGTTCCAACAGAGCTTGCAGTCTGTGGCAGAAGAGCACAATTGATATTACTGTGGGACTCTGATGGTCCTGAACTCCTTTGAGTAGATCAAGACTTGACATAGAATCTTTTCAATTTAGTCTTGACTGATGCAGTCTGTAAAGCTCTTGGGCAGCACCATGCCTGCAACCAAACAGAGATGGGTGGGCTGAAATGAGTGGGGAAGAAGAGCGGCAGCCTTGGAAAAGGCTGTGCTGACTCCATCACATTTTTTGTAGCTCACGTTGTGCTGGCTGGCAAGGATGCAATGCCACCACTGTAGCTATGAGTGTGATCTGACAAGAGCTTATGTGGGATCATTAGAAAGGGAAAAGTGTCATGTCATACTACTTAGTGTTAGAAAGCGGGAGGAAGACATGATCAAAGGGAGGAAGCCACAATGGAGGAAAGAGGAGAGAAATTTGTCTTCCTTTTAGCAGTATCAAGCTATTAAATTATTCCAGTAGCATCATGAAACCACATCCAGTAGCATGTAGGATTGTTGTGGTTTAACCTGGCAGGTGGCTCAGCAGCACACAGTTGTTCACTCACCTTTCCCTTCCCAGTGGAATGGGAGACATAATTGAAAAATAAAATAGAATCTTTGGGTTGAGATATAGCTATTTACTAAGATAGATAAAATGAGAAGGATAATAGTTGTGACTATATAGAGATGACTATTTATAACAAGTGATCCACTGCCTGCTGACTGATGCCCAACTAGCCCCTGAGCAGCAGAAGGGAAAAAGATGAACTCCTACCCCTTTCAAAACTTTCCTTCCACGTGATGTCATATGGTATGGAATATCTCTCTGGACAGTTTGAGTCAAATCTCCTTATTCTGCCTCCTCCCATGAACTTTTGCCCCCTTTTGTAGGTAGGGCAGTAGAAAATTAAAATACATTTGGCTCTGTACGGCAACAACTGGAAACATTGGTGTGTTACCAACACTGTTTTTCTCCTAAAATCAAAATATAGCATCATCCCAGAGACAATGAAGAAAAGGAACTCTGTCCCATCTGAAACTAAGACAAGGATTCCAGTTTCCCTTTCTCCTGTCAAATACAGCTGAAAACAGGCTGTTTCACAGAGAGTTTGTCAAGAGTGGACACTGTTTTTGATGCAAGTATGAGGATCATTTTGATTCTTTACAACAAAAAACCCTACATAGTATATTTTCTGTAACTTCTATCAATCATGTAAGTAAAGACCAGTTGTAAATGCAGTAACGGCAGCCACATAGAGGTCCAAAACAGGTGAGAGTCAGAGTAGGGAATTGTCTGAACGCTGTGTCTGTGCCTGAAGTATTCCAGTCCTTCCTGGGCTGCTCTCTGCCTTTCTAGTTCTGTAAAGATTAATTTCCCTTCCTATCTCTGCTTGTCTGTTTGCAGGTTATCTTGACGAATCAGATTACCACATCGTTGAGCAATGGCCTTGCAATCCCAGCAGACCTAGTGTCTCCAGCTCATGATTTGTCCCTGTCTGAAGGTAAGAGATTGCTCCTATTAGAACTGAAACTCTATAGTGACACAAATCCATATTGTAACTCGCAGTCTTCAGTATGATGTATAGAGGTCTATGAGAGTCAGGTTATCAAACCTAACATAAAATAAAGGGAACAAGTTATTTTTCAATTGCTTTGAAAATTAAAAAAAAAAAACAACAAAACAAACAAAAAAACCCACAAAACAAAACAACTATTAACTGACCCTTTCCTAGGGGCCTGGAACAAATTTTCAAGCTGTGTTCATTTGTAATAATGTGTTACTTGACATTCTACTTTCATTTGCACATATTTAAGATTTTATTTTTCTCCTTCTGGAGTTGTAAGTAGAGTTGATGTACAGGCTAGGCCACAAATTTAATTTTTTTAATGATTATTGGTAATTCCAGAGAAACAACTAGATACAAAGGAAGGACAGCAAATGCTCATTCCTGTTGCTTCTATTATGCTTGTCCAGTTTTTCAAACCCAGTGCCTCAAACTGCAAGTCTCAATATTGTGTGAATGTAATAAGAGCTTTTTGTGCGATACCATGTACTGCTTTATGTCTTCATGTAATGTAATGCCGTAATTTCGACTCTTCCCACTGGAGTAGCCAGAGTCCCCTTAATTAGGGACTGATACAGAGGAGCCTGTTACTTAGAGTTATGTTCAACTGTAGGCCTAAATGTATGATGAGAAGCAATGCTCACCTTTCCTGCAAAGGTGTGATAATTGAATGTTGAAATTTTACTTTGTATAATATGGTTATTTATTTCCTCTCTTTCTTCATTGAGCTTCCCGGTGGCTTTGGTCAGCTTGTCTTTGTTCTGGCTGATCACAGCAGCCCTGTCAGGCTTGTCTGACTTAATATCAGAAAGCTCGGTGGCAGGGGTAAAAGCTGCCATTATTTCTGCAGCTCAGTAGATGAGAGGAAGATGTTGAAGATATATTAATTGGAACATTAAAGAGCAGCAAATAACACCACTGTAATTCTTTGACACTGACTGTTCTCTTCATAATGTTGTCAATAGGAGCCTGGGCAAAACACGGCTCATTAAATAATTTTGAAATTGCGCTTGTGAGTTTTGTTGGCTCCATCCATTGATTAAGCATCTCTCAATTTCATTGCATGAATTTCACCCCCTGTCTCTGTCAAAGAGTGGAGATTTGGTAACTAGATTTGAAAGGGAAAGGCATCATTTTTTCAACTGTATGATTTCTTTCTTGGCACAAATACGTTACACATTGCCTGATTGTCTCCCAGGGTTGGTCTGACATCCATAATATTTATTTCTATTTTGCAAGGAAAGAGTAGTTAGGTGAGTAGTCCATGCACACAAAGCAAATATGTTGCAGTCAGAAATAGACGCCAGATTCATGACTGTGTTCTTACCTCATTCTTCCTTTTCACTCATCACTAACTTAAGCTGAGTTTGAACCAGTGACCTAGATGTGAAAGGACCCGTAACACGTTATTAGTTCTGTAAGCAAATCAGACCTCTTGGTTTGTATATGTCTAACGTTGTTTTAATCCTATCTGAAGTCAGTCCTTCGCTGTAAATGGTTTGCTAAAGGGGTGATCTTTCTGAGAGGCAGAAATGAAAATTTCAAACTGAATGTATCGTTAGAAAGAAGTGAAATGTTTACAGTGGCTTTTGTTTTTGCTTCTGATCATGCTTTAGAAGGGAGTTTCATGGGTTACGTGTTAGATTAGGCAAGGAACCAAGGAAGCTGTTCATTTGATGTGTGACAGAAGGTTAATCTGATGAGCAAGCTGAAAGGACATTGTCAAGCTGTTTCATGCTCAAAACTTGTCTTCTTTAAAATCAGAATCTAACATATGAAAACTTGTCCTAAAAACTTTAGATGTTTATGAGAATAATAAAGGCTTTATAAAAGCGGAGTGAATTGTAAAATCTCCCACACTTAAGTAGCAATGTAAGAGCTGTTGAATTGTGCTTGTTGGTATTTCTTGTAGGAAATGGTTATATTCAGCTAAATGCCCAGATCTGTGCATACTTTAAGACAGAAAAAAAATGCTTAGTTTGCTACAAATTAATGTTGAATAAAATAGGAAAGTTTCTGTAGCTATGGACTGAGTCCTTGCATTCATTTGGCCTTGATGTGTTTGCCAGGTTATCCTCTGGTTTGGTATGTTTCTCTGACACTTCAAAAGATTCAGACACAGAAGTCTGTGACTTCTTTTCTGAAAGAGAAACTCATATTTATTAGACGCAGTGTTCTTACGTGGCCTTATTGCAAACTCTGTCATCATAGGGAATAGACTTGGTTGAGCATGATGAGAATGCTGCTGTTTGCTTTTTATGCTTGCTTTGTGGATTAACTTTTTAACTGTTCTAGTAAATGACAAGTTTAAGATGCCTGAAGATTGCTTTTAATTGTGGAGATGTCAGACCACTCCACGACTATCACTAGACTTCAGAATGTGCCGTCAATAATTATTTAAATAATCATCTCTCTAATAATGAGAGAGATTTATTAGGCTAGGGGATTAAGCCGTTATTTGTGACTGTGACTGTATTATTTTTATTTTTGCAAAGTTCACATGATTGGATTTTACCTAATATAGAGGATCTTTAGAAATGAATTCACAGGCAGTCTGTTTGAGTGCTAGCTGGAAGGTGATGTTTCTGTGTTTCACAAGTATTAGTCTTGCAAAGCCCAGGTTTAGCAAAATTAAGCATATTGTTCTGTTGTACAAAGAGATAGGACAGTATGACCTACTTGATGTCCTTTCTAGTCCACCAGTGCCTATCCTAGTAATATATCTGTCAGCTGCAAGCTCACACTTCCTCTTGCACACATCAAAGATGAGCCTCACCTTTCTTAGAAGAAGATGAGGAGTGTGTTGGCATGAATGAGAGCAGAATCCTCCTCCAACCATGTACAAAGCGTAAGGCAAAAAAAGTCTGTCTCAAGCTTCTTGAGTCTCAGCTGGCACCTTAAAATATTTATTTGAAAAAGTCAGAATTATTTTGTGTTTCAAGTTGTCTGTAAACTCATGCTAACTCTGGGGAGGCCACCGTTCAGTCTTCTGCCATTTCTGTTCATCAAGCAGTTTGTCATATGCTTGCACATTTTCAGTGCACAGTGTGAGCAATGAGTTTAGTTTAGTCTAGTCTGACCTTTTCATCTTTGTTGCTGTGATCTTGAATTATTTTAAGATGCTGAGCAGAAGTGCCATAATATCTCTCACCCACAAAATTTTCCTGCTTGTGATCATGGGACTTCAGTCTACAGGCAGAATATTTTAAATTAGAATGTTTGGCTTCTTTGTGTTGCTTTGCCCTGGCCATTCATCTATCAGATTGTTGAAACATCTTACCCTTCAAGCCTTGGTTTAAAAGGTGTCTGATATATTTTTTTGCCACTTTTTTGTTGGTTGTGTTGTTGGTGGGGGTTTTTTGTTTTGTTTTGTTGGGTTTTTTGTTTTTTGTTTGTTGTTTTCTTTTTAGTTTTTCAAATTACTCTCATAGGGAAAATAGTAAGTTGACCTGCTGTTCACCTCAGAGTAAGATCAGTAAGATCTGTCGTTTACTACTTCTCTTCCTTCAAATCCCCTTTTTCAGTCCTGGTGCTGAATGGGGAGAAAACAGTGAAGGAATTGTCAAGAGAAGTGAGGGGGCGCCGGAGATGAGAGGCTGTTGTTTGGTTTTATCATTTTTTTTAATTTATTTATTTATGTGTATACTACATTGAAAGTTGGACCTAGAGGTGACTTGATAAAAATCAAAAAGAATATTCTGGGGAATCCAAACATTGCTGTTTTGCAGGAACTGTGAGCTTATGAATAGAGCAGCTGTTAAACAAGCTTCTAAAACACTTCTTCCTTGTAGCTTTACAGATAATGCAGAGTAAGTTATGTAGTACTCCAGATTTATATGAATTCAAATAAAAGTATAGTGCTTTGACGAGCTTTAAGCCTCTAATATTTTAACTGCATACTCTCTTTTATAGGCTGATTTACATTATTTTTTTTATGATAGAGGAGGTGGTTTCACTTGTATCAGTGAAAAACTACTGTTATTTAAAAAATGAAACTATCTTAAGTGATAAAATTCATAAATTAATATCTTATCTTTTTAATAAGAATTCACCCTGTCTTTCTGAGACCCAAATATTTGGGAATAGTTAGTGAAAACATTACTTTTGTCATTTTTGTTATCATTATGGAATAATTTGGATGTGTGGAGAATTCTGTACTCAAGTTCATGTAACTTGAGTACAAGTTGTAGATCCTGTAAAGGTTAGTGGATTTTAAATTTGCAAAAAATCTACGAGTACAAACAACACTAGAGATACTTCCCAAGTAACCTGGCATTGAATTCCAATAATTAATCCACATCCATGCATACCAGAGGTATGTTACCCAAGGCTGATGTGGCTGTGTGAACTTGGAGGACTAAAACACATACCTGAAAAGGTAATAGAGTTCTCTGTTTTTTTTTTGTTTATCTTGAGAATGAAGTATTCAAATACAGCTTTTGCTCTCTACTGTCATGACTGGGCAGGGAAATATAATGAGATTTGTATCTGTTTTTACTTCACAATATAAATTGCTACCTTCTATGTGATGGTGTTGTTGCCAGGCCCAAGACCATTTTCCCTCCATGCTGGGAGAGCAGATCTGGATGAATCCATCAGCTACAGAGATGTGCATTCAGGTCTGAGCCCAGGGTGTCTATGACTTTGTGTAGGAGTCAATCAACTTGCTCAACTCATTGATTCCAGTTCATGTGAAGTGTAACAGAACAGGTGGAATTGTTTCTAGTTCTTTATTGTGCTGCTGGACTTCATATCTCAGCTGTCTTCTAACAAACTACCCCAGCACAGACCCTGTGATCCAAGTCAATGACACTGCGGGAAACTTCCTCTTCCTTCAGTCTGTTCTCTGCCTTTGAGTTATTCACTTATTTTGACAGTATATTGAATGAGGAAACAAACAATCTAGGTTAGATGCATTTTCCCCTTGTGGATCATGC